GTAATCATGGAGGTATTGTCAAGGCTAAAAAAGTAAATTTCGAAAAATATTTTCCACTAAAATAACTTTTTTAATGAGATTGAATTATTCAAAAATACTATAAATACTTCTTAAGTTATTTCTTTTTTTATGGGGTGTACGATAGACTTACCTCCACGTGGTATACTCTGGGCAACGTATACTTATACGGCAAGAAAGTCTACTTACCGGCAGTTGACGTCTCACTTCAAACTACCATGATCCCACTGTATGTCTTATTCGACCCCTTCCACAGTACTCATCTTGCCTTTTCTCTGCCTTCAAGTCTGTCTGCCTACTTTACATCTGTGGATCACTCTGGTGTTCCCCCTCTCAACTTTAATGTTCCCCCTCCCCTCTGTGAAGCCCGAAGTCAGCTAAAGGGCTAATGATTACTATCAAAATGCCTGCAACTTGAAAGAAAGAAACTTCTTTTTTATTTTAGGAAATCAGAATGAGCGAAACAATTGAATTTCAAACATCGTGGAAAAAATCCACCTATGGTGGAGGAAAATAATTCCGGAGACTATTTTATATGGAACTTTTTAGGCCAAATACTATACCAGATACGTAATCCTCATATTTTCTCGTAAACTAAATGCGACTTAAACAACACCCAAGTTTTAAGGTCATCAAGAATCACGATCACTTGAAGCCGATATATCGCCCATCGATATAGTCATGTATTACCTCGTAACAAGTAAAAAACACTATTTAAAATGGAATAAAATAATCACCTGAAAGCGGAAGAAAGGAGCCATATGCATAAAGATGCTGGGCCGAGTTGTGACGATGAAATCGAGGAATTTCCACAATTGCACACCACAGCATCGATAGAATGCAAGCTTAGCTAGACTTGCAATGATACTGCGTGATTTGGCCAGTGCATGTCGGGGATATACTATTAGAATGAGCTTGAGTCCTAGAAATGCCAACCTGAAAGAGTACGTAGTAAGTTAAATTTCACTTGTTTAACCTGATTCTACAATTAGTCAATTCATCCAAATTTCCTTAAAGCCAGTTCATTCTATTTAGTGTAAAACAAACAACACCACAAAATACATTAAAAGTCAAATTAAATATGACTGGGATAATATAAGGTAACTTTAAAAGTATTGGAAACAATTGTCGAATGTGCCTAGAGAGACCAAGTATCAATGCGCGGTAATAACATTGAATTGATTAAATTAAAAGACACAATGATAAAAACCAATGTTTTACTTAAAATTTTTAAAGTTTTCAATCAAGTAAAACTGTAAAGTTAACTATCCATTCCCTAGAGTACACTTAAGTTTCTTTTAACAGCCTTACCACATAATCATGAGATGAAGATTTTGAACTTGTTATCAATGTCTTCAAATTTTAAAGTAACTGCAAATAATTTTTAAGGATCGATGTTCGTTGCGAAAATTCTTTCAACTCCTAATCTACATTTCTTTGCTTGAATAAGCAGAGAGTAGGGCAAAAACATTCAGACCTGCTGAGCAAACTCAACGAAGAATTTCTTCTCTCTCCCTCCCTCCCTCCACAAAGCGAAAGTAAAATGTAAAGCAATCCTGCAAATATAGGAAAGGTTTCAAATTCTCACCAGCTAAAAATTGTTCATCTTAACTATCTTATCTCCACGAGAGTGCGCACTACTTTCTGCACGCCGTAATGACACTTTAACTTAACTGTTTTCTTAGGGGAAATTAGTCATAAATGGAAAAATCTACTAGATGAATTTCTCCTGAGAAGCATAACATTGAGAGAAAATTTTACACATAATGCAAATAATAATCTTAATAATAATAATAATAATATAGGTCACAAAATAGGAATATAATTGTAAGAAATAAAGGAAAGTATTGGGCACTTCTGTATCGATCTTTCTGTCAATTATTAAAATTTATATTTATCGAACTTAAATATTGATTGGAAATGCCCGCCATATTGTTCAAAAGAAAATTCTTAACAATACCTTTTTCAAAAATCGTAGGTAGAGAAAATTTTCGTTTAAGTAACTATTTGAATCTATCTTAATACTGAACTGCTTAGAATATTTCGAGTTGATTTAGAGAATCTTAGTTATCGATTATCCCTAAAATTGCACTTTATTTGATTAAAATCAGAATATTTACTTACGGAAACCCTTACTTCTTTCTCAAAATTAGTGTTTGCAGCAGTAGTTTGGCTAGCCGACATGATGACTGAAGAAGGTATAGTAGGCTGAAATTACGCGCTTACTTTGCCAACAATTGAATGGACGATGAGCAGGTAATTTGGTAATATTTGAGTAAGTAAGTGTAATACAATTGATTGTGTTAGATCTATTAAGGGCATCCGAATTACTATGTGATCAATGTGAACATTGATCTGTGGTTGGAAGCAATAATGACTTCAAGTAAACTCACCCTTTCCCCCCCCCCCCCTCCTAATTGCAAAATGTTTTCGCAGTATAAGCATGAGATTAGGATTGTTACTTGGGGATTGGTGAGTGGGGCTTATTTGTTATAATCAAAACAGCAAATCACATGAGACTGTTAGCCTATGACATAAGTCGAAGCAATTACAGAAACTCTATTGACTTGAAAAGAAAACAAATCTAAGTTAAAAAGGAATAAATTCCTCAATGAAATTTATGGAGAGAAGTTCCAGTTCTTGGCTTTCCTGCCCTCTGAGGGGGGTTTAAATTTTTGGTAAATTTATGTTTTCTTAATAACTATCCATTTTGACGGTTAAAAAAGCATGAATGTTCCACTCATCTAAACCGTCAACGTTTTTCACGATTGCTTCCAATTATAGAAATTTATATTTGCTTTTACGATTTCATAACTGAACATTTTCTTCATTGGTGTGCCCTTGGATCTACGATTTCCGTTGCATAAATTCCAATTGGTCTTCTATTACATGCGTCTTTTATTACACTCCTCATTTACTTTGTCTGTATTTGTGATGTCATAATTTTTCACTCAATTTTCATGTCATCCCGGCAAATCAGCATCTTTCCTACACATCTATCACTTGAAAATTGTCTCAAAATTAGCCCCATAACTTCAAGCCGTTAGTGAGCCATCTCTTTCCTCCAATTTTTGTTACTCAATTTTGCAAGTTTGCTCCTCATACTTTTCCACTTATTCATTCCTCTAAAGAAGACAAGGAGGAACTAAAAATTGTTTTTTTACTTTCTCTCCCCCACTCCAAAACCACCACACTTCTTAGCAAACCACTGAGCGAATGATTAGAAAGAGCACATCTGATTGGTGCAGATTGGTGAGATGGGGTAGTGTAGGCTGAGATAAGTGTAAGAGATTAAGCTTGGACGACTTTAGTAGCTTTCTAGTAGACTCTACACTGATGTCTATTCTACTGACCAGGGACTTTGGCCAGCGAGAGGGGAGGGGGCGGGGAGAAAGAGCTTGTCTTTAGTAGATAGAAGAGGTGGTGGCAGAGGAGAAAAGTGGGAAGAAACGAGTGGGAGGTTGGGGATGGGGGGGGGGGGGGGGGGGGGGNGGAGAAGAGATTGCCATATTCTACGGAATTAAAGGGAGTTAGAGCAAAGTTAATTGCATGCTTGCAAGGGAGTAGCTGTCGTATTGGGAGGAAACGCAAAATATGGAGTATTGTTAATTACAATAGCGGACTGCTGCATGAAACTTGGTTGCGTGCTCAGATATACTTTATCTATGTACTCAGCAAGCAAACTCAATCTCAAAACACGGCACCAAACTTTTTTAGCCAAGTAAGGAAAGGCCATTTAAGTAGCTGTAACATTCAGTTGGAATAATATTGTGACTTTATGCAGGGCAACTGCTTGATCTCATTTAATTACCCCCCCCCCCACCTCACTGCCATTTCCTACTCTTCCACATTACCATGGTTCTAATAAGAATGTTTAGTTTGATGTTTGATGCCTAACGACATGCCTAATCTCATTTATGTTTTAACAGTACTGTATTAATATTTAATTCTCATTTTAAGTTGCTAAATTCGAGATGGATATATTTAACTCAATATGTCGTAGGAATGAATAAAGCGCAAGAGCCATTCCTAACCAGACGCACTCTGCATATAACAAGCTTACGTAGCTGGAGGCACTTCTATTTCATATCAATTCAAATTAGAAAAGGGAGGTGAATGTCGTCTGACTATTCAAGCATCAAATTCTCCTGCCTTTTGCAAATTTAATATTTTAGCATTTCAACACCCATACATTTGGATGTCTTAAATTCCCTGCTTATATAAATCTTATATTCGGTAAAATATTGTGCAAAAATCTCCTTTGTGCTTCAATTTGCTCAGTTTCATTTAAAAAATGAAGAGCATTACTTGTTCTAGTAAATTATTGTCGTGTGAAGGCTTTCTTACTTGTGAATCACGTCGATTTGAGCCTGGAGATTTCTCTCGTGATTCGAGCTAAGTGTCGTGTGCATATGTCCCGCTCCAACTGAGTTTCTTGGACCAGCAGTATTAGCAGCCGCAACCGAGGCAGCTGACTCCGATTCCTCCGGTTTTGGATGATGCATACTGTGGAGGGTGGGTCCGAGTAAGTTCACTACACATCCATGCACCCGACCTCCTCCAAGATCGCAAGCCAATCTAGATGGTCCAATTAACTCCCACGTAGATCCGGTTACTGCGGGCCCTCCAAGCAAATTAGGTAACTGGAGAAGACCCGTAACCCCCACAGTTCCAGACATACTCTGACTCAACGAAGCTTTGATTCCTCCCATACCTGCGTTATTATCTCCCACTCCACCGGTTGGCTGATTAGATTTTGAGTTTGCCAACATGAAGGAGGAATGTAGACCGAGTTTATGGCGAGGTGTCTCAAACGCAAAATGGTCAGACGCCGGTGCCGGTCCACGGCTTGATCCTGCTCCTGAAGATTCTACATTGGAAGTGGTTGGCCCCGAAGAGCACTTCTCTGAACCGACAAACAGACCAGACAGACACACTTCCAAGGCATAGTATACGTTCTCCTTGGAGAGGTTTGGAAAGTCTACCCAATAAAATATGCATCGATGAAGTATGGAACACTGACATTTCCAAATGTTTGATCATTTGGCAAAAAACTCTATCAGAGTGAAAATATAAATTTGAAGTGGAGAAAATTATGCATTTAACTATTTCTGTCAACTACAGGGTGTCCCAAAAATGTATTCACACTTAAATTAATTGTGCTGCAACCGATCTCATTTACTTGAACTTTCTGCCGGAGTCTGTTATGCGAAGCATTAGAGAAGACTTTGAAGATGAAGAGTTTTATTTTCAGCAAGATGAAGCACCCCATATAACCATCGCGATGTTAGGTTTTTCCTTAATGAATTCTTGCCAAACAGGTAAATTGGATGAGGATGTTTTGTCGAAAATCCTCCCTGTTCACCAGATCGCACATCACTAGATTTTTCTTTAAAGGGATACTTAAAGTACAAAGTTTACGCTGCGAAACCCACAACAGTCACTGAATTAAGAGAAGTCATTGATCATTAATACGTTCGAATCCCAAAAGAATTAGTTAATGATGCGTAAGATAGCACTGCTTGGCGTTGTCAATAGTGATAAGATCGAAATTGGCATCAGGTTGAGAACAAGCAGTGAAAAAAGCAATAAATTATACCTGTAAAATACTTTTACGGATTTGGAATAATAAAATTCTAAGTGAACGCCAAGTTTACGACTAGGTTCAATGTGTATACATATTTTAGGAGACTTTCTATATTTTCAGTGAATTTATACCATTGTTTATTTTAAGGCCACGATCAATTTTCTTTAGTACCTAGCTGAATGGTGTCTTCTCTTTCAATTTTACCTGGAACCGGGGTATTGGGTTTGAAAATCATAAAAACTTCTATCATGCATTTCACCTATGGCTGTGCGTTTGACAAATCTATATTTTGAAGAGAGGCAGTGACCTAAGCGTAAAGGTCGCATAACCGGAAATATATGGCATATGTCAATCAAATTGATGGTGTTTTAAAAAAATAGTTTGATATAACTATAAGTTGGAGAGAGAGGGAGAGAGAGAAAGTTGGAGGACTTGGTCTAGACAGTTTATTATTACACAGAATTAAACAAAGAGAATGATTGAAGATGAGAAGGGATTTACTCGTCCTTGAACAAAATATAACCCCTACGGATATGAGTTACACTTATCGGCAATCTGCCTTTTAAAGAATCTCACTAAAATTACCAATTACAAATAATAAAAGCTCCAGCCTCGCTGCAAAAAATCAGGCAGCGCAAATTTATTTGAATAAATCTACTAGAATTTCTAAAAAAATTGATATCGATCACTGGCATTTGAAGCTTATTCTTTTCTTTGGCGTGATTCTTAAGCTCTACAAGGAAATTCAATGGACTTGTTTATGCTATAAGCCACATTAGGAGGGAGATTCAATGATTATCCGATCTCAAATATATGAAAATTCCTCCCAATGTATCCGTAAGAACTTTTAATTTTACTTTCCAGTCTTAGAGAGAATTTTTCAAACAAAAGTGGGACTCTTAAAAATTAAAGCTGAGGAGCAAAAATAATTTCTCCTCAAACAGAATATCAAGGCCCTTTTGGCAGAGAACCACTGTATTAAGGCATATTGGTCCTGGACAAAAATGTTTCGAATTATGTCACTTCCAGTAGAAATGAGTCCTTTTAACAATAAGTACAAAACACCAAAACACACTTCAATGAATTGCATAACTAGCCATTACTGCATTTGGCTATAGCTGCAAATGAAGTTGCGTAAACAAGTGAGCTAATAAATTAAATAAATTCATCCAGTATAGACTGAAAGGAAGACTTTACCCATCAATGTCAGTCATATCACTTCTCAATCTGGATTTCAGTCACGAATGCGTTGAAGACAACAGTTCTCTCACAATTGAAAACTTGAGTTGATGCTTAAGGTATTATAATTTGTAATGATATTACTACCATGCTTCAAGTTAAAATGGTGAAGAGCATAAAGATACGTTGTTGAACCGTTTTGCCTACAATAAATACTTCATCTTTGAGAAATTTGCAGGTCAGCTTCTAAATTTGCCTTACATTTCATTTTTGCATAAATTCTTGATTTCTTTCCAGTTCTTTAGTCATCATTTCCCATGAAGTTGTATAAATTCTGTTTGATAGAAGATATGCGCACCGTTTATTTTTAGGTAAAAATATGTAAAATTAGTCGGTAGAATTGACGTCATGCAGGTGCATATCCGGCTGAATAGAGTTACATTTAATGTCTTTGTACTGTTACTGAATAATTTAAATCGATAATTGAACTAAAGTTATATATTTCGTATATAAAATCAACAAAAGTAGAAATTTCTCATGAATCGCCTTCCGCGAGGTATTACGTTCGTCCACCCTGTCTGATTTCGACTACACTGTGAATATTTTCAGGTTGAAGTTACAGTGCTTCCTTCCAGTTCGAGCGCTTCCGCCCTTTGATTGTAAGTTTTACATTGGACACCTTTGACGAATTTCTGGATTTCCTACGACAAATTGGCCAACCGAAATAGATTTTGGAATTTCTGGCACGCTTATCGTACAATTTGGAAAAAGAGCTTGAATGGACGATAATGAGACTATTTTACTTTTCAAGCAAATTTCACAAATCCATGGATCTGCTTTAGATTAGTAATTATACATTTCCTATGAATTTCAATGGATTCCACTCACTGGTTGTGAAAACTCCCTGTTCTTCGTAATGCATTCGACGTCTGTTTTGCTGTTCTGTCGATGCACTGAAAACACGCAGAATAAAGAAGAGTGCAGCCTGCGTATAGATAAGGCCTAAATTTCTGTAAAAATTTTTTTCTTCCTGAAAGGCTATGCTTCATAAATCTGTTTAGTTAGGCAAAATCAATTGGACTAAATTCCGTTTAAGGTATTTTTTACAAGGCGTAATACGTTATCACACTTGATATACTGCAGAGTTTTCAAGGTCCAGTAGCAAGATATCCAGCATTTGTGTGAATGATCTAATCTGTAATGATTCAAAGCCAAAAGGGGGATTTTATCCCAAAAAATAAACAGTTTTGAAAATATCAGCGCGAATTCGTCTAAAATCTTTGTAAAATCTGATTTAAGATCACGTATGTATTTTAAGGGTAGTAAAACCAGTTTATTTACTTAGTTTTCAGAAATAATTTTGCGTTCTTCAATGCTCCATTAGTGGAATGCTCAAAGCGAGTGTCTGTCAAGCCAGAGTTCATGTGATTAGTGATCATCTATGTGCGCACAATGGTATTGGTGATCAACTACCTTGGTTACTTCTATCCAGTAAGAAGGGTAGCAAAATTTGAGTCCAAGGCAACTTATGCGAATACCGCTCTAACTGAAATCTTGCCTCATTCTTAGCAATACTTTAATTAGAAAATTAAAACAAGTTAAGTTCATTGATAAGCTTTCCGCACATGCCTTATCCGGCATAAATTGAAAAAAACATAATTAAAAATTTTGGGATTGAAAAGTTTTATTGACTTTTGTATGCAACAAAGAAAAAACTCGAATTTCACAAAAGCAAGTACTACTATCATTTTTGGCTCACCCAATCATCGTTATTTTGATCACACACACGCGCGCACACACACACACCTTAAATTTTTGCATATTTTTACAATATTTAGTGAAGATGGAAGTACGCGCGTTTAATTTTCTTTGAGAGTAATAATTTCCTACGCTCCCCTCCCACCCTTCCTTTCCGCCTGTAATTTAGCCATTTTTCTCATGGTTCCACTTCAGGTTCAACTTTGGCAGCAATTTATCCCTTTTCTCCTCCATATTCTGCTGTTTGACGCGAGCTCATTCTCTCACTACTTGGAGGAGCGAAGGTTTTAAAAAAAAAATCACACCAAATATTTGGGCTGTGGGAGCAGAATTAACTTCGAATTTTAAACTCCCAATAATAAAGGGATAATAAACAGGACTATAAGTACAAAGATAATTTTGTTATCCATTTTCCAGTGTAATGGGTTCCATTAAATGCTAAGTCATTAGTTGTATAGTAGACTGAATTACCCGCATGTGACTGCTATTTTTCCACTTAAACCCTAAAGTTTCAATAGGCGGCATAGATCAAAATGCCACGGAAAAATATCTGTCATTTTTTCGAAATTATCAGGAACATTTGAAAAAAAACTTTTGCGGTGCTATTGATGCGTGATTCTGATTCATTATTCGTCAATCATTTATGAAAAAAAATAGTGGAGTATGTCGTGTCCCCAATCAATATGTTCTGACCTGAAGTGACCGACAGTATGAAACATCCCTATTAATGTGCCCATTTCAGTTACTATGGTAATGCAATCTTGTTTAACCTAATTTCCCTATCTGCGATTAAGACCTTCAGGAATCGGTAACCTCAATTAGACGTGTTGATGTTTGCCCTAATTATTCATCCTTAGTCTGCTAAATTTCGTATGCCATTTCACATTTAAAGTTGGAACTAGATCGTTTCAAAAAAAAGAAACCTTTTTCTTTGTCAGTCTAATTCCTGCAAACTGCAATAATTTGTGGAGAATATAAAGGATGAACAAGTCTGGAATTAAACTAAAAGGTGTTTGGGATGATTTCTCGTTCCTTTTAAAGTCAAAATTAACTTGGGTACTTGTCTCATTCGAAATTTCTTTCAAGCACAATAAAGTAGTTGCTAACCTCCACGACCAGTGCTGCATTGGATTAATAGAGGTACAATGAGGTAGGCCAAGTAATTGGAGAGGTTGTCGGTGCCTCCCTCAAATATTGTTGGACAGCGGCAAAATTCAAAGTTTGCTCTCTCACAAAGGTCCTTGAGGCGGTACGATGACTAAAAGTCGGAGAAAAGTTTATATTAGAATTCCTCAAATCAATATATCCTCAAAAAACCGCAAATAGCCGTTTTAAATTCTTTTATCTATACATGAAGGTTCAGAATTCAAATCTTGACTCTATAATTCAATGGCACTAGCACGAAGAGAGAACGTCATACTTTCATGAACAAAACCAAAAGGCGAGAAGGGTTTCAGAAAGTTTTGAAATATACATATAGAGGTCATGTACTAGTTTCATGCGCATCCTACAGATGCCCATCTTTTTAGTCACGATATTTCAATATTACGACTTCCTAGCGAGCGGTTACCATAGAAACGATTAAATCATCAACCCGAAGTTAATTTAACATCAAATTAGAGGTTGGAGAACGAATGACTCCGTGGCCGATACAAACAGATCTGAACGGGTATGAAACAGGAGCTTTAAAATTTTGATCTCAGCGTTGAAAAAGGAAGGTGACATCTTAAGTTTCTTCAAATAGACATCTTAGTGATTCGATCAGTCAACACTATTTATTTTACAATAAACTTTGAAATGGTCTCCTTCTTGGCAAGAAAAGTCGTTAGCTATACTATTATAAGGTTATTACTGATTATTTATGCAATTATAAATTCGGAAGAGGCGACGGAAAGACTAACTAATTTCTAATAAAGTGTGGCGATGGAGAAGGAGGGGGGGGGAGGGGGTAGGTAAATTTGAGCGCATTACAGTAATTGATCGCAAAAAAAGTAGGATCAATCGAAATAGAAACGAAATTGTTTGCGATTTAATCAAAGCAGTTGGTCGAGCAGTATATGTATGTGTGTGCAAGCAGAAGAGAGAAAAGAGGCGTACTGGGTGTGAGTAGTAGCAGCTACTTGTCTCCGATCTGTCACGCAGTTAACTCTCAGTGACACCTCTCCAGCTCATTTTTTACTCTCCAATTCTTCCTTACTCCCAATTGTGTTCTAGAGCGTGAGGATGGTTTCAAATATATTAAAAAAAAGTTAGCCCACTTTTCCCCATCTAAGAGTGTGCGAAATCTTGGTAAAAATCAGATTGTTTTATTCAAACTTGTATAACTTACTTATGTATCGAAATTATGGACCTTACATGAACATGTGAAGCTATCAATACTAATTAATATGAAAGAGTGAAGATTGCATAAAATTGATTATTTCTATGCTTGTAATCAATGTCAAATGTGTCTCCAAGGTGCTTATGGTATGAGATCTTAGATAATTTGCGAATCGGATTGGATATTGTTTTTTTATGAACTGTACTTTGAATTCAAACGTGTTCTCTTCAAAATCACACATTTCTTACAAATATCCATGCTTGTGGCAAATCTGTAGCGCCCATTTTAATATCTGTAGATTCGGATCCGGAAAAAATTAAAACTATTATTCAAAGCGACTATTTATTTTCTATTTTAGTCCGCATTCTACTGATTAACTATTTTCCCATCCGTTTGCCATATAATCATACAAATGCTAAAATTGAAATAGAATATATTTCCTCAGAAGTATTTATATTTCACTTTCTCCACCACATAACTATGACACCTCAATTCCACCTTTCACGTTCACATTAAATACTCAATACGGGTTTTCGAAAAATGTATAAATGTGAAAACAATGATGATCATACGTTTAAGTGGTTTGAAAATAAGGACGTAACTGTCTTTTAGTGCAGCATATCTATTCTTTATTGTTCCAATCGCAACTTTATTCCACCTGCTGATTAATCCACATTCTACTTTACTTTACTGTGTTGATAGAAGACTTACTTACCTAACTAATTTGTTGGCAAATTTTTATTTATTTGCACTTAAGCCATTGATCTTAAATAGCTATATATGCTTTTCTGGGTGTTTCCATTATTTAAACCAGTTTCATGCTTGGCTTTATTCCAAGAAACTAAGGGTTCTCACCTCAAGACAGCTCAACATAAGTGCAATAAACCGCGTTGACTCAGATGCGAAAGGTGTTGGGAGACTTCCGCCCGTTGTTGAACCACCCGTCGATGTTTGAGCTCGATCAGTAGAACCCCCGGTGCTTGAAGCACAAACAGAAGACGATGATTTTGCCAGAGACGACGTTAATAAAGCGCTGCTTGGTGAAGTTGGACTCAGCGGAGTCCTAGTAAAGAGTTATGAGTTTATTCAGGGAGAATATTAAACTAAAAACATTTTATTTTGCTAATTCAGCAAAAGACCTTTAGTGCTTCGTTACGAATGTATTATGTAAATGACGACTTAATTAATCCTGATTAGCATCAGTCATTGGCATGATTCAGAAATTATGCTGCTCAAAATCATATAAAATTCAACTGATTAAATTAAAAGTCTAGCGTCAAAAAATGGTTCTATCAAGGGAAAGAAATTCTGCATGTGTACTTATGTGATTATTAATTTCCTTCTTTACGAAAAGACAAAATAATGCAATTTTGCCCACTGGAAGTGCAATATCGATTCCATCACACCACTTCCAGGATGCAGCCATTAGAGATCACAACATGATGGAATCGACCCTAATTCATCGATTGAATCGCTATCTAACCAGTCATATTCTGACGCATTGGCGAATGAAGATCAATAATCGATTCACTATTCTTCGGCCAATCATCGTCAAGACAAAGAACTTACACCAGACATAAATAGGAAATTTATCGTGCCAATTTATGTTTGGCTAATTAACTAATCCGGTATGACTGCATCGTTTCTTGGACTCCCCCTCCCACCCCTCCCTTTCCATCTGGGGGATGGGGCACGCGCAGCAAGTTCTCTAGTGGGTGATTTGTCCACTCATTAGAATATGTTGGCTACACGTTATAACGCCCTTCAATTCGAAATTCATGTTCCCAAAGATTAATTTTTCTGTCTCTTCTCTGTCTTTGGTCTATTCGAGAGAATTTATATAGAAACAACATAAAAATAGGTTCTCATGATTAATGCGATTATTACACTCATTTGCATTCAAAAGAATTTACCGCAATAATGAAATAAACAGAAAATGCATATCAGGAAGTACACTTTGTTAGTATTACAGCAATGCCTATGAGAGAGTGAGACGAATTCAAATGACCTAATCCCATAATCGTTAAAAGATTAAATAATTAATAACTAGAACAAGAAATGAAATTCATATTATTATCTCCATTAATTTTTAACAGCCCACTTATCCACTTGTGCTCTTAGGGTTTCATGAACAAGAATTTGTTGAATGAAGTGGAAGAGAAGGAGAATCAAGAGCATCGTTTGCACTGGTTGTATAAAACACAAGTACATTATTTGAGCTTTAGTAAGACAGATGCGATATCAGATCAATAATCGATATTCGGTAACTGCCTCCTAGACACATGGGAACTCAATGCCATGACAGCACCCAGTTTACACGAGTATTCAAACGTAAAATACAATACTCAGCAATAAGAGGTTCATAATGTAGTTTTGAGAAACGTTTGCATGGAACTTACTTTGGAAGAGTTCGTCTCTCAGCACTAGTTACTAATTCAGGGTGAAAAGTTACACCAGGAGGTGAAGCCATTTGTTTGTCCATACCAGCACCCAAAGTGTCTGTTGTGGCTCGACGGCCTAGATGATGCGCGGTAACCATAGAAATAGCTGCCTGTGGTGTGCTAGTGACTAGACGCTCTGTTGTCCACCATGCGTTAGGACCAACCACCAAACTTCGTTTTAAGTAATCATTAAAGATCTAGCCAAATTTAAAAAGAATTGTTTGCACAACAAAAAAAGACTTAAAAAGGACAAATCTTAAAAGTAAACACACCTTTATTTCTTTCAAGTGTGCGACAGCTCTGTTGCGCTGGATGGTAAGATAGAGGGCTCGTATAAGATTTGTTAGGTGCTTCCAGCTGATCTGTTTCTATGAGTAAATGTGAAAAATGAGGTCAATTTTATGCTTCAAAATACAAACTCAAACAGGGTGAAGAGATTTAATTGGGAATTTGCTTGCTTGACGTTCACAATTAGCGCCATGTGGACATGATAGACACTTTAATTACATTATGATTTGTACCACCGGCCTATACGTGTTTGCGATTGAGACAAGGCTTGTTAACTACCTCACCTATCAATAGTACTTCAGTTATGTTTTGAATTTGATCGAAGAAGATAAAGGAACACATTCTTAGTTCACAAAAATTGCAATTTTAAAATCAAACGAATGGTGTTTCCCGGAGTAGCAATTTCACGCGCTGGGTTCGGAGGAAAGGTGAAGTCTAGCACACTTTGAACGTTTGTAAAAATATTTCCATGCGCAAGGTCTTGCATTAAGGCTACAAGTTACTTGGAAGTTATCCTCAAGAAGAAAGTAGAAATAATAACTTAAAACCTACCAACGGTATTGAAGGACATATTTTAAACTTACTCTAATCGAAGCGGTTTCTAACATTTTAGGCAATGTTCTATTCAGTCGGCCGACAAGAGTTTCTAGAGCCTTGCATGATCGAAGAGATTCTTGATTCCAGTCTGCTATTGGTAGGACTTCTAAAAAGAATCTTTGCAAGGGCTGGCTCCTTAAGAGATTAACATTGTGAGGAAACTGTTTTACAATGGACTGGGCCAATTCAGAGAGACGCTGAAAAGAAGAAATCAGCATTTGGTTGATGAGGAATTATTATCAAGTGGATGAGTTATTAAAAGCATTTACCATGAATGCCTTTCCGTCCAGTAATTCGGAAGTTTTCTGCTTCTCTCCCAGCTCTCCCAGCCGTCTGTGCGCAACAGTAAGGAATTCAGAAGCAATTTGCAGAATGGCTTCTCGGGGTTCGACGCTTGATTTTCGCCAACCAGCTGGAGTATTAATATTGTGACTTCCATCATTACCACCACCTCCATTTCCACCACCACCACCACCCATTACTGCTGACGCACTGCGTTTGAGTCCTCCTGAACCACTGCTAAATGAGCCCCCACTATGTCGATGACGCTTCATCGATCTCTTCGTAGAGGACTCAGTTGATGGGGTTCTACTCGTCAGTGGGGAGCCAGCTCGATTCAGTCCTCTTTGGCCCTGTTGTTGGCCCTGAAATCGATTTTGAGAGTAATTTCCTGAGATAGCCGATGCCCATTCAGGCATCTTTGGTGGCTGATCTGCTGTGGCCAAACGCTTTGCCGATGCGCCTCCTAAACCACGCGGTCCACCAGGAACGGAACTACCACTGACTCCTGAAGATACTACTGATCTAGATTCTTCTGACCGCCTACAGTTTGTATAATAATTTTGATACTTTATTAAGAATTCTATGACATGTTGTACAAATTTTCACACTCACCTAGTCATCCACTCAGTAGTGTAAATGAGTTGCTTGATCATAACTGAGAGCTGTTGAATTAATTGAAGTTCGAACTTCCTCACATCTGCCCCAGTGCACTCCTCACAGCAAATTAGGGGCAAATCACGGAGTATGAAGGGTAGTATTGATTGCAGTATGATCTATTAGCAAAGTAACACGATTATATATGCTTATTTCAATTATTAATTAATTAATTTCACCATAGAAATCGTTAAATTAAATCATGTGGAATGATGGGACAACTGATTTATTAGCTATTAACGCTAATCAACAAATTTGCTTTATGTAATATCAGTAATAATATAAGTATTATGAGTTGGCGTAATTGAAAGGGCAGACGCTTTTTAATGTTAAATAGTTAAGGTTTCCCTTTACTTATTTTCTTTCATCTTTCGTATATTTCAAGAAAAAACGGCCTATCAACTCTAATCGGAAGGCTTATGAATATCTCATGAATTCTGAAAAATGCAGAAAAATTAAAAAATAATATTTTCTACTTAATTAATTATATTGAAATTCCCCATCAGTTAATGTGGCTTCAAGAATAGAGAGCTTAGACGTGCAATTGTTTGTCAATTCTCCCAAAAGAGTATTTCCACTTTAGTACCTCCAAATAGAGTGATTGAGCAATATATGAGGGCCTCGTTCAGATCTTAAAAATCTTGTAGCGGATTGCTACGTCAGTAAAGCCTGACCGACTCAGAAATCTCTTTGGCAGGTTCTCCAACATCTAGCTAGACTCCCAGAACAAGCTAAGCTATAGCCCAGCTTTAAGGGAAACTCATCTAGCTAGACTCCCAGAACCAACTAAGCTATAGCCCACATCTAGCTAGACTCCCAGAACAAGCTAAGCTATAGCCCAGCTTTAAGGGAAACAGAAGTGTAGCAGGGAATACGTTTATTCAGTACGTATGTTGATAGCGAAGTATGTGTTTGGCAAAGCGATTAGTTATCAGATAACTCTAGCATAATTCGTTTGAACTTTAATAGCTAAATATTTCTGAATAATATTCTATAGCAGGATTTCTATTTGGTCATTGATGGAGTGTCCCACAATCTCATTCGTTTCTGTTCCCTATTTAATTTCCTCAGTGTCCAAGACAAGCCAATCTTGTTTATATATATACTAATTTAAAGTTCAAATCACTCCTGAGGTAATATTTGCGGGGGCGACTTTCTATTTAAGTAGGTAGATTTGCCAAAACATATAATTATTAGGAGCTAAGAGCAAATTCAATCACGGTATTTTAAACTGCAAAAGAATAGTTTTTTCCATGAAATACTGCAGAGCCTACTTCTTCCAACATTTATGATTAAATCTACCACGGAAGAAACCCACTGCGTTCAACTAGGCAGCGACTAATCTTGATTCACTGCTTTTTGTTTGCACGAGTAGCAGAAAACCTCGTTTGAGTTAGTCCAGCAGCAGCAGCAGCCATTAAATTACTCAAGCAAGCCGAACTCTAGGTGAGTTAATCAATTAAGCTTTAAGTGGCGAGATCGAGTTTGCAAGGCCACTTGCAGAAGTAGCTTTTTTTGAGGAAAAAATGGAATTGCGTAAAAGAGATTTGCAAAAAGTAAATAGCCAATTCAATTTGAAGACAAAAGGTGTAAGCTAATAGAACACCATGTCAATCACTGAATAAATCGCCTTGGTTTTTTGCCAAGGTGGAAAAAATTTAATTATGAATAGCAATTGAACATTTCCTTTGACCACATTAATTTCTTGTTTTTTTTACATTCTCCCCGCCAATAATGAAATTCTGATTGATCTTTAAGTTATTTATCCTAATAAATATGAATTATACTTAAGTAAAAAGTGTTTGAGTCAACCTTCAATAATTTTTTTTCATAATAAAAGGATTTCTGCTTCTTTCTCTTCAGATTGAAATATTGACTTATAAAAGTTTAAAAAAGTATTGCTTTCACCCAAGTACTATTGCTACTGTTCACTTGTGACTATTCTGTCCATTGCATACTTGTGTTCCACTGATTTTGAAATTTTGATTGACTTTCTTCCCATCTGAAGTGCAAACACTTTAATACTCAATTAGTACTTCAACTATTGTTATCGGAATAGAGGATTGAAAGCTAAAACGATTACGTTTTGAGCTTATGAAAGTGCAGATGCCACGACTGTCCTCAACCACCCTATATTCATCCATGGAGCAGTTTTAATCTTTTAAAATAAACCTCCTTTTTACATCAATAGGTAGCCAGTGGACAAAACACTAAGAACAATCTAAACACAATTTATTAGAATCCGAACTTCCCGAAAATGACTGATTGAAATTTAAGACCAAATAAAAGTTTAGTCTTCTTTCTAAGAGGAAGGTTTAAGCTGTCCCCATCCTAATTTGTTGAACATGTCTGGTGGAGACCAGTTTTAAACTTCTATTTATGTCAAAATGGAAAATTTAGTATCTTAATGGGTTTGTCTCCTGCTTCCATCAACTTCTTAATTAATAGTTTGCCCACTTGGTCTATTGTTAGGTAAACTTATAAACACTGTGAAAAATACTTGCTCTTGTATAAACTCAAAAGCGGATCATTAAGCAAAGAATAAAATTCTGAACGAATTATTTTTGAAAAACAGGAAAAGTAATTGCTATAACTTTTGACTATTGAGTTAAATGTTTTAGAAATAGATCAGTAGCTCAAAGTGTAGGATTGGTGGCTTTCCGCAGCCTAAATTTCATAACAAACACTTTACTCTCTTATTTTGATAGTTTTACCTAAGGAAATGGTTAGCTATAAGCTCTCATTATTTCATAAGGAATAACAAAAGCGATAATAATTCATTAAGCTACGTGGATTAACTCTTCAAAGCTAAAGCACAATTGAGAAATGGGATAGAATTAAGATATAAGCTCATACAAGGATGAATTACTAAACCAAAGGTGAAAAACGAATTAGAGTTTAAGTGGGGAGAATAGTAATGCATGGAGATCTTATCGGCTCTTGCACGAGTGCTTAATTGCGATTCGCCCTGTTGATACATCAATTACTAAGACAATCGAATGGAAGTTTAGTATCTCCTTCAAAATATATCACCATGCCTTACTCTGTTCTCGATAGCAATAATAGAAAGCAGTAGAGATTCAAAAAGTTAAGTAAGCAGTAGGTTTACCATCATTTGCCGAGAACGGTAGGATTCTGGTGCGTATACTTGAACGGTGACACATAAATTGATCGTCTCAAAAATGGACCAACTTTGCGAGTCATCGGCATAACAGAAATCCTACATAAAAACAAGTTTTTTTACCTTGAATATTGGTTGATATGCTGAAATTAACCGTTTGAAAATACTCACAAGTGCCTTCAAAGGCTTTGAGAATCCACAGAGTTGAAGTATTCCCAAGGTGTCAGGGATTTCTCTTCCGATTGAGCGCAGAAGCTGATAGAGGGTTTCCGGTCGTATCTAAATGACATAATTGTTCCACGAGCAAATATATTTTCACTTAGCGCTATATACATTTAGACATGAGTTCTCTTAAGATAGAATAACGACAAAAGTAGTAAATTTAAAAAAAATATACAGCAAAAAATGGTGCACTAAGTTGCCTGATCACTGTATATTACAAGACTGGTGAATTTTACTTCTGTACCCTATAATTGTAAATGATTGACGCACCTGTCTTTCAATACAGGATAAAAGATTAAAAGTAAAAATAAAGTTGAATCAAAATAGGATTTGTTATACAGAAATTAATAAGGCAATATTTAATAAGGCATCAAGAGTACCAAAACCCCTAAATAGTTCAGAATTCACTATTTTCCTTTTGCTGTTACTAATAACCATCCCAAATGAAGTAAAATATGATAGTGAATCAGCCAGACTATCACCTCTTTATCTCAATAAGCTGATGTCATTCCAAGTATTTCTGCGCATTTATGAATTATAATAGGCTTCCTTCCACTCCATCTGGTGAAATAAACTTACCGAATGAACTAGGTGGCTAGTATTCAGCTAAGTATCACTTTGTTCCTTTCACCGTCCTAACGTCGCAATGCATTTTAGAGTAATTAAACAGAAGGCCCCAATAAAGATTACATCTTTGTGTTTCAATATTCGAACCTAGTTAATTCAATTTCACTCATGCCCATTTGTTAAAACAGCACAACCCAATTATACATTGTTACTTGCCATCCAATCAAAATAAGGTATCAAATATGACTTTACCGTGTCTACAAGGATCTTACCCGATAGAAGTTAGGTTGAGTGGATTCTTCAGGTGATAGGTCTATGTAATTAGCAATACTGCCAAACATTTGCAAAATGAAGGGTGTCCGATGCATAATGTAAAATTGTTTAAAAGTGAACTCTATCGCCTGCTTGAGAATACTATTGTGTTGATTGCTGTGATATACCCGAATAATGGTTGGCAGAATGCTCAAGTATCCATTGACAGAAAAGATCATTTTGAACTGATAAGAGCACTAGGGAAGAAAATCCGAATGAGAAAGGAGAAATAGTTTTTACCAACTTTATATAAAGTTAGAAAATGTAGACAAACCTGTAGGTAAAAGGCCAAGCACTGTCGGAGTATTGTAGCGTCTTCAGCATGTAAAACAAGTGTTCCGTTGTAAACATTGAGGAAAAGTTGAAGATCGGTAGACCATGGAAATGCAGAAGTCATTTTCTGAAACATGGAGTTGATTAGCTGACACCAAGTTAGCTTATGCATCGAGTCCATTGCAAAAAGAGCCTTGCTCATATCACCACACTCGTACAGCGTAAACTCAGCCTCCAGAGCTTTGCGTGGAAATGATGGAAGTTTTGCCAATTCTTCTCGTAAGAAGAGTATATGATTGGACATCTAGATTGAAAAGGCAAATGAAGATAAGTTCTCCATGAAACCTGAAATAAGCTATTTTTAGGTGACAGAACAAATATAATTAATTGAAGTGGGTTTTCATTTTTATTCATTTGTCGGAAATGCTTGAAAAGAACCAGATGGTTCGGCATATGGCCATGCTTCGGGGTAGGAGGAATAATAACAAGAAAAGAAGCAAATAATAATAAAATAACTTCTATTGAGCAGCGATCATTTCAAAAATTTATTTATCGAGAAATAGCTACTATTCCCATCACTTGCAGCTTGCATGTTTAGAGCAAACAGCAGTAATCGAGTTAAGCAAACATGGCGTCTTATGCATTTTGGCTTTCAAATAAAACGTTGTCAATAGTTCTAGTTTCAGTGAATATGAACGATAACCTAGGATTACATGGAATATATCCTGAGATTCGATTTTTTCGACTTATTTTACACTTTCTAACGAGCACAGTGTCTACTTCACATGCTTTTGTTAATATTACCAATAATCTTTCCACTACGGAATAACATTTAATCACCACATTATCATCCTTTACCACGATTAAAAGTGGATTAAAATAGAATCTAATTAGAGTATTAATAAAATGATATTTGAATTCCAGAGCACATTCTGTGGAATTCAGACGTTTCAATTAGAAAAAATGTTTATTTCACAATTAGGGAGACTGATATCCTAGGATGCTTACATGTGAGGCGGCTGTTGTTTGAAGAATGGTCTTGACTAAGAGCAATTTCCCCACTTCTTGAACCTTTAAACTGAATGCATTTCGTTGAAGCAACTGTTGACCTGTTTCTAGATCCACTCGCATCAATTTCAGCTTTGGAATGTGATTTCTTTTGAAGGGATAGAAGTCCCGCACGTAATGATTGGAATTGCGTATAATATCTACAAGAAGCCAAAAGGGTCACCAATTAAAATAAAATAATGTTTGCCAATAGGTTTCTCTTAATCTGATCGCTTCTATTTAAGCCAAAAGTAAGTAGTGTCTTCTAAGAACAAAGTTAAATAATGCACTAGATCTCAATAGAATTACGTTCAGTAATGTCACCAAATAAATTTGATTTGTAACCAACTCCCCTCCACCTGCCTGGTTTATTAACCCAGAGATATAATGAGATTATTTTTGTGGAGCAATATTAACTAATTTAATGCGCAAAAGATGCTTTAGATTCTTCAACTGCTATTGTTGCAAAATGATTCTAATTTTTGGGCCAAAACTTTTGCATAAAGAATGTATCCATATGCCAAGTGGTGGCGATGCTTTTAATTGTTTTCTTTTCAAAGAAGCTGCTGTTTTGTTTTCGAAACATTTTTGGGATGGGCAAAATGGAGTTTATTGAAATCGCTTAACACATCTGGGATACAAATTCAAATGTTCTCAAAATGACAGAGCAAATGAGAGTGTTTTCTGATAAGTTGAGCGGCTAAACTTCAAGAATAGTTATTGATTAGTAAGGGCTCATGGTCAGTCAGAATACTCATTTTTAAAAAGGGTATCTTAAGAAAAAAAGAATTCGGTTGTCAGAAATATATGGCCTGCCCTACTCTTTAAGTGTTAACTAAATCAATTTGTTATAATAAAAAAAGTGTAAATATTAACTTCATTATGACTCAAGGATAAAGTAAAACCGATAAGGAAATGATAATCTCTCAGTTTGAAAATGATCACAGTATAACTGTCATAATCGGTCAGGTGTTAATAACCTTAACAGAGTTGTGATTCCTTTTCTCATTTCTCTTATCGAAACTATGAAACAAGGCAATAGCTCGATTCATTGAAATTTTCTAATTTTCTTCAGGGAAAAAGAGTGATCTAAGCTGCTCTCATCGCGGATATGCACGGAATCAATTCATGCGACGCTGTTGTCAACCTGACCTTATATACACCCAAATACACGCCAATATGTCCGAATAATTTAAAATGACCTCCATTGCCCAAACGCTACTCGCTCCTAATCCTGCAATTTGTCGACGATAGAAATTTATATCGGCACTTAAATCAGCTATGAAACGTATGATTTAGATGGTCAAATTTTTTGTTTTTTCCATAACTGTAATAATTTCTGCAAACTTCAACTTGCCATACTGAGAATGTAGTTACTTATTGTTTTTAGTCCATTCTAAAATAATACATTCTGTTAACAATTAGCTGTGAAAACCAATTGCAAAGCCTTTGGAGGTCAATAAGTAAACATATGAAAAACAATGCTAACAAAAGGATAAATTTCTATAGAAAACATGAAAATCATATATTACACGAGGCTCCGATATTAAAGCACTTCAATTTCTAGACTGGATTCATGATTTGTAAAGAGAGAATAATATGTTGGACGAAATCAAACAATTCTAACTTACTTGATCGATCATCACAGAGAACATGAAAATGGTGCTCGCTGTGTGGAACACCATTACCTTCCAGAGCTTCGTTGAGAATATCTCCAAATCGATAATCCTAAAAATTGATAGGAATGCAGAATAGGGTTATCCAAGAGGTTTAGAACTATACCAATACTGTGATGCACAGATCCTAGTTATCTGCATAGTAGAGGGCGGTTTTAATTAAAAATCTGCCATTCGGACTAGCGACTGTATTAATCTTCATTAATATTAATTTAATTTAATTGGCTCCGTGCTGAATTCACTTGTTTAACATTGAAGATAGGTACTAGGGCCACATACTTAATCTGTAGGAATAAATGTAAATAACACAAAATTCTTCTGTTACCAATAAATCTCATAAGACATTCTATATTTTCCTACTCGGGGGACTAATTCGTTTAACTCTATTGATTCGCATATGTGCCCTCTGTGTGGATGGATTTTTAAATCCATGCCGTTTGAGGAGCAAATCATGCATAAAATGCATTAGGTATAATTTATAAGTGCGGAAATCACTTTTAATTTCCGCAGTTTTACGTTGTTTGTATAAAATTTCAAAGTGGGTGACGTTCAATCTCTCCATCTTTTTCATACATTGAATTCTAAACTTCATTCCCTCGTTTTAATTACCCATCTCTCAGCCTTTGGTATGCCTGCCAATATCATTTCATTATGGTATTCCAACATCTCAAGATTAACCTTCCGATCTCCATCTTTTCCTGGTTATTAGTCATGAGACATGAACTTTCCCATCAAAACTCTTCTAATGGAAATGCTCTTCACAATCTTGTGAGAGTAAATTCACAGAACCTTGGTGGTACCTTTTCCAAGACCTGTTTCTAGACTCTAAGCCATAAATTTCCCTTTGCGCTTACTTCATTACCTTTCTTGACAAATGTTCGACTTTTTAATCCATATTTCGAAGCCTTTCTCTTTTATACTTTTTAATCTGTCTTCAGCGATCATTGCCTATGTTCACCAACTCAGTTATGTACAGATTCAGTTCCTCAAAGCCAACCGAAATAAAACGCACAGTGACATCTGAAAGGACTGCTTCAGAGGTTCTCCAATGCAATTGTCATCGCTTGTCTATTAAATCATCTATTCGTGATTGACATGACTTAGAATTTATATCACAAATGAGAATGATGGTGCTTTATTATTGGAGCACATTATCAGATTTTTTGGTTGAGTTGGTGATTTACCTTATTATCATCCTGCAACTTGACAAGTTGGGCAACACAAATAGTATCACAGAAGACGTTGAATTGTTTAGCACATGGCAAATTGGCTGTCACCAGCAACGTGGACTAAAATTCATAAGCAAAAGAGGCAAATTAAATGTGTAATTATATTTACGTGAACAATCAAGATCTGAACCACGACAGTTAGCTTCTTACGTCAATTTGTTCACGACGAAAGGTCTGTTTCAAATCCTTAAAGTATACATTCTTTACGTAAGGTATGATCTAAAGCAAGGAAACGGAAAGGCAAGATTTTGAAAAACGATTAATTTGAAAGTAGATTGCCTAATCTTCAATTTACCATGTGCAAAACACAGAGAATACTTGCAATAGAATCTGGGGCGTCGAAACTTGGAGTTCGCACGTGGAACATTATACAACCGATCTAGAAAATAAAATTAGTCAATCACGTATCGAGGCTGGAGAAAGAATCGATAACCTCAGTTTTTTTATTTCATAAAGTCTTAATTCATGTTTTATGGTGGCTCTTTATTAAGACACTCATGCCTAATGGCTTTAAAATCTGCACTTGAATAGATGTGAGCAAATCGCTGTGAATAAATTAAGCTCATCCTAACCAGCATATATTGGCCCCAAAGACCTCTTCGTCATCTAGTGAGAGCAAAAGAACATCAAAGTATGTTTTTTCCCATCTTTCTATTTAACTCAATCCTTTTCCGCTAAAAAATATACTTAGTAAAGAAGAAGTATGGATGAATTTTGATCTCCTCAAGGTTAAGATAATTTTTACTCAAGCACAATTAATTTCCTCCTTTTGTGTTTCTAAAATTAGAATGATAAAAAAGGCATTCCAATGCAAGGTTACCAGGTTATTGAAGAGAATGTGAGCAGTTTGCATGGGAAGTTCAGGAAGACGTTGGACAAGTTTACGAATAATTGAAATGAGGTCGTCTTTGTGGGGAACTCGCGTAAGTTTCTCAAAGATGTAGCGGAGAAAGAGGCTGGTATCCTCCAGTAGACATTGCCAAATTACCTTTTCCACAACAGTGCTTACTAAAATTTAAGATGCAACATGGAAATAAAGGGAGATGAACTCAGCATATAATGATTGAAATAAATGCAGTGATTTTGTGCAATGACCGCGGGTAACTAGTTCAAATAATATCACCACAATAGTTACTTATGATAACCAAATTATCCATCCACATTTCTCGATAATTCATTAGATATTACTGCATTAGGAACCATCCCTGGTGATATTCCTGACAAATTAACATGCCATTATAATAAGTGACATATTGCTAGTGTTAATGTCTGGAGAAATAGGGTTTGGCACTATCCATTAGATGGAAAAATGAAATTCAGAACAGGATTCGTTTACAAGGATCATGCGACTTATAAATAAGTGCAATCACAAACTCCATTCTAGTTAATCAAAGAAGAAGAGGCAGAAGAAGAAGGAGGAATATTTTTCCACTAAATCTCCCAGGTAAAAATCACAAGAGAGTAAAATACCATGGAAGGATAAAATTTTAAAGTTAAAGTAAGGGAATTTTAAACCACGCTATTCAACTGTGAGTAAAATTCCCAAGCGAATTCGCAGACAAATTTAATTAGTTTAGAGGGGATTTAGCACAATCCAGGTAAGGTAGGCTCCTTTCCCGCTTCTGTCTTCATAAGAGGCAATATTGTTTATTCAACTATCAGATTTTGCCGTGAAGTATGCGCATTTTCTGATAGCATAACTTTTAAGGGTGAATATATTTATTTATTCACGAAACTTCGTCTCTGCTAACCAACCTAAATGCCTTACTTTCAAAGCCATGGGAAATACGGTTGAAGCTTCTTATTGTACTATCTTAACTGGCTAGTAAGTTGTACTTGTTAACATGGCCAATTCGAAGTAACATTAGCGCATAAACGGTCAAACGCTGTTTCCAGAATTTCAACGAGGAGACCACCCAAACTGACGCGCCATCTGGAAATTTCTTCTATAAAATGGAAAATTAAAATATGATTTTTTCGGTCTTCAATATTATACCACTTTACAAGATTACTGTCTTTATTTAATTAATTTTAATACATTCTAAATATCTCTTAAAAATTTTCAGTATGTAAACACGGTATTGTAATTACTAACATCAGATTATAAGGTGAGTCTAAAAGGCAAATCTAGCCTCTTTTGTTAGATTTTTCTATTCAATCCTCTATTTGCTCTCAGCGTTCCTGTGGCATAGATATTTGCCAGGTTAGAGGCTACACATTCAGGTTGGTTAAATAGGTATCACGAGTTACCATGCCCTAAGTTTATGCAACTCTACTCAAGATAAAGGCGAGTAAACCTCAAACAGGTATTAAGGAAATTTACTCATGACAGCGTTTACTGCACGATCAATCACATGAGGGAATGCCTTTCTCTCTATTTATTTATTCAGGTCTTTGACTTTTGAAGATGTTTCAAATGTAAAGATTACTTAAATCGATGTACCAATGATCCAGTGTTTTTTAGTTATAAAGTATGTACAAGCTCAAAATCGTTATAAATAACTAAGTCCATACTTCTTTGGCTGCAATAATTCGTGGTAGACAAGACGTGCACTTGTGCTTTCTTTTTAAGTTCATTTAACCAAGTTTTGAAGAGCATCTTCCACCTTTTCATCGAGCTTATTAAACCCTTCTAATGCCACTGCATTTATTTAAATTACTAGCAGAGTTCGCAACTCAAAACGAATGGTAGCAGACTTCTTTTCTTAACATCATGGGGTATTAGAAGCAAACCGAGTTGGAAAAGAAGGGTAAAAACCATTGGTATTCAAGTAGAATAATGACACCTTAGACATAGTAGAGATTTCTAATATACTTACCTTGCTATCTGAGCAATTTAACTTTTACGTGGAGGCCAATCACCTTTTTATCTTGTGAATGCAGAAACCGTTATTTATCTTTATTTTAAATAATGGGTAAAAATTCAATCGATATTCAATTGAATATCAATATCAATAATCCCCCTTTTGGCTAAAATTCACACGATACAGAGTTGTACTCACGTCCCTATTGAGGATGTGTTTTAAGTGGGTTGTCATGGGCAGAGGAAATTCAAATGGATTAATCCCTTTAACGTTTTCGTAGAAGATGATCACGATCATTGACTGTAGTGAGTCTGGACTTCAATTTGCCTACGACTATACTTCTGTGCTTATATTCGCACCGAAATATTTTACTCATGCACTGCACCAATTGTGGAAAGATTTAAAGGGAATGAAGAGGTGGATGGAGAGATCACTTATCGTTTGTTGCCATTTATAGATGTCCAATCGCTGGGTATTTCTTAATTAAAGCATTCCACTTTGCCCTAATCGCCATTCTTTGTCTTTCCCTGACAATGTTTTTCTACTTTGGCATAGCGTTAATGAATGTCACTCAGTTTCTACAAGCCACTAACTCTTCATTTGGACACCGACTCTCCAACCAAAATTAGTGTTTGAACTTCATAATAAAAACAACCTCTTTCTAAGTAGATGTCTTTTTTACAATTTCTTCATCCTTTCTACTAGTAGTATTAATTCAAATCACATCCACTTTGTCCTCCTGGGTACTTAAGGAAAGTTTTATCTAATTATGATATTTACTCTATGGAAACTATCTGATCAACAAAACAACCTCACACTTCCTCTCTATGTACTTCCATTGTCCACATATAAAATGAGTAATTTAAGTCCTAATAAGAGCACAGTCACAGTCCTCAAAAATGCATGTTATAAACAGTTGTTCAACAGGTAAGTAGAGAGAAATTTTGTGTTTGCGCGTGTGTGTGTGTGTGTGTGGAGCAAGCTTACTGGAAATGCCCTCGGAGTTAACTGCGCAGTCATCCATGAGGTTGGTGAGCGGTAGAACAGCGGCGCAAATGCAGGAGGGAAAGAAGGTCTGAGCCATTTGCAACTGGTGCGTCATGAGGACCGAAACATTATTACCACCTCCTTCGTCATCCAAACCTAAGAAGTTAGTGAAAGCGGTTAACACTAGTTATCATGGAAAATGGTTAAATACCTCAGGCTCAAAAATTAGAACAACCTTTACACTATTTACGTAGTCCATTGTAGATTATGTTAGTAGTTCGAACAAAGAAAAAAATTATCGATTATATATTGAGTTTAAAATACAGGGAAAAAAGTTTGTCTTAAAATACATCCGCAGGGGTGCGTGGTAGACTTACCTCCGCATGGTGCACCCTGGGCAACGTATACTCATACGCCAAAAAGTCCATAAACAGCCAGTCGACCTCAAACTGCCAATACCCGATTGTATGCCATATTTCACCACTTCCACAGTACACGCCTCACCTAATCTTTTACTCTACCTTTGTGTCTGTCTCTTTTACATCTGTGAATCGCTCTTCTGATCCCAACCCTTCCACAGTATTCAACTCACCTTTTTTCTACCTTTGTGTCTGCTCTGTCTCTTTTACGTCTGTGAATCATTATTCTGTCCCCCCTTGTCTCTGTGAATCATTATTCTGTCCCCCCCCCTCTCGACTTTTTGTAACTTTGATGTTCCTCCTCCTCCCCTGTGAAGCTCGAAGTCTTCTAAAGGGATAACGATAACGAGGATAACTACTATGAAGCCCTTCATTTGATATAAATAAATAAAACAACAGCAGCACTGTTAAAAAATGCGGTCGATCACTTGAAAATCCACATTTTTCCAATTAAAAAAAGAAATGGGAAATGTCTTACACAGAATACACTAATCCTCAGCGGTCAATTCAACAGAGGGTTTAAAAGTAAATGGGTGCATTTTTAGAACAGTAGAATGAGCTATTGATACAAATTTACCTCGATCAATGGATTAAGAACGCCGAAAAAATTTGAATACGACGACAACTTCGGATATCATTTCAGCCTAAATCAGGATTGTTTACTCAATAGCAGTTTATTTAACCCTCGACGTATAATTATATAAAAAATTATTTCGATTTTTTTAATGTAGCACCTCTTTAGTAATTTGAAAGAATCAGAGATAACACTTATTGACTAAATCACAAAATGACAGTATGTAATAATGATAAGTTCTAATCAAATTCATTTAGGTCGTCATGTCTCGATTGAGCACATTATATGGGCAGACAATATGGGAACCTGGACACCATATACCCCATTTGCACCCTTCATCATATCGTTTTCAAGTGATACTCAGCATTAATGCAACCAAGTGCATCTATATCTTTCTGAAATTTAGTAATTTCCGTGTAAGTTTCCACACAGTATGCCATAATATATATGGCAATATCTCGGTGATATGCATTTTTTTTCAAAGTGTTAGAGGTGAGGGAGAGTCACGCAGACTGCTGAAATGCTTTTAGCGGTTATATATAGGTGGAAGTCACGCAAATCAAACGCACTCACTGCTTCTAGGCCTTATAGCAAATCAGAGCAGAAATTTGAACCGAAATGGGAAATTCGCTTGAATTGAAACTCACCAACTATGATGTGGGAGTTTTTTTGGAGTGTCTGAATCGCATGCTTGTTAAATTGACATCCGATTACAAAATAATGTAAACAAATAGTTGCAAAATAATTTCGATCATTCTACACTCGAGTAAGATTTTGTTGTGGTCAATAAACCTAACCAGAAGAATGAAGTCACAAGTTGTAATCCTCTACTACATTTCAACCTCTACTATGAGGATTAAATTGAGCCCAAATATAGCTTATGTAAAACATTTCCCAACCCCAATCATTCAACAGTTAATTGAACTCAGTTGGACTGCATATAGACCAGTGATTTGCTCCTTTATCATATGGCTGTAGCTTCATGTAGCTTTTAATAATTACTAATATTTGCTCATGCTTGTATGTTCTCTGTTACCACTCATATAGCTGAACAAAGGTCAGTTGTGACCAACAAAAAGAAATCAAGGCAATATCAAGTAGTTCCATCACCTGGAACTGAAATGTTATAATAATTTAGTTGCGTAAACTCAGTTTTAATATCGCCCATTTATAATATTTTAACACGAGTATTGGTGGATTCAAGGTTCCATATAAGTTAAAATAGCTAATATAGATGCACGCGACAACTCAAGACGATATAACAAAGATGCTCGTGAATGTGAGAGATGTCAAGGAAACTCACTCTCTCTTGAATTGCCAATGATTCATCCCTCCATTAATATCACGTTTACTTTAAATTATCAATCTTAAATCAAATTAAAATTTCGGATAAAGTGCATATTTGCATTACAAACTGCATATAATGCAAAGATGTATTTATGCAGATTTTGGGAATCCAAAATTCAAGCCATAAGCATACCATCCATAAGAGTAACGTTATCTCGAAACATTGGGATGGATCCGTTTCTCCAGGAGAAACTTCGTGACTGCATATTGATGCTTCTATTCATCGGCGCAAAGCTGACTCTTCTTGCTGCCAAGTTGAATTCCTCCTGTACAACGGAGTTTGTCATCCCAACATTACCTACAAGGTTGCAAAGACAGTTTCTTATTGTTATGCTAACTACCCTAATTTATAATGTGGATGTAATTCATAAAGTAGATATCATACAAACAGAAAGGTGGATTCATCGAGCGGCTCATGGGAGCATCGGTTAAATTTTGGCCAGAGGGAATTGGCAGTTGTGAAAGAAAAGAAGGGAAAGAGTCGACTTTCTTATGAATTTTACGCTTGACAACCGCACTATTTTGCTTTGCAAAGAAAAAAGAATGATGAATTGGAGTGGAATAGATGGAGGCAAAAGTGAATTTTTGCTTCATTTTCTGATTACTCAATCAATTAATTCTCATTTGAGCTACTGGAAAGATTTTCTTCTATTATGGAGAAATGCGCAATTTGTTTACCTGTTTCACACTTGCCTTTTTTGTCTTGTTCCCTTCAACAATTCACATCATAGTTTTTACTTGTTGTACTGAGAAATCCTAATTGGGTAGAAGTTTTTTTGTGTTCTGATTTTTAAATCGCTCATACTTCAATTCTTTAAATAGGTGGGTTAAAAGGAGCAAAGTCTAGAATTGGAGTAGAAAATTAATTCCATTATTCTCTGTTATGTATTACAAAATGGTTGCTCCACAGTTAGATTAGTTAGACAAAAATGCGTAAGAAGTCAAGAATGAATTAAAAGTTAGAAAATCCGCCCAATGCTGAATGATAACTGGTGTGTTATATCATCGATTTTGTTTGTTTGAATTTTGGCGTGTATTGATCTTTTTCCACTGGCCTAAGTAGCTTAAAATAAAACTATTGAATTACTTCCTAATATTAATAAAATTAATGTTTATTGCATAATATCAATCAGATTGAAATTGAAAATTGTAAACTTAAAATGTAATATGCAATTTTAGATGGCTTTGGAATGATTTTACTACGCTGCTTTTGTCTAGACACAAACACACACGCACACACAGACACACTCATGAATTCAGTAAAATAACTGTAATTACAGGGCCAACTCAAGCTAAGCAAACTTGTACTACTTTAATTTAAAAATTTTGTGCGCCGAACTAAGACTTAAAAGCAAATATTTTGCCATTGTCCAATTATGAATGGCTGTCTCACGGCAAAGTTAATTTTCGGCTATGCTGTTCTCCTAATTTGCAACCGGCACATGGAGGTTGTTGAGTGGAATGAAATGTAAATAGTGTTAAGACAGAATATATAATATAAAAGGTTCTCAAGTCAATTAGGAGTAATATTTACGACAGTTGACTTTGGTATAAGGCAGGTATCCTGAAGCCACTCATACAAGGAACTCACATGCTATCACCCCCCCCCCCTACTCTCAACCTATTGACTAGAACTGGCCAGGACACCGATGAACGTTAACTCCTTAACCTCTGACTTGGCACACGTGCACGTTAAGAACCGTCCCACCGGTGCACATCACTCAAGACAATTATTTTCAATACCAATTGAATTGTCCCTATCATTGCGTGTTTTAAATCTTATGTGGTATTCAGTTCTGTTTCAAAAATCGATATAATCCTGTTTGTAAAAACCTGTCATTCCGGTCAGATCCTCAATAGTCATAAACTAGGTCAGCTCTTTTATAATTGCGGGTCTGGATAGGTTGCTACCACAGCCAAAGGTAAGATCAGCGTTCGAAGTGATGTTACAGATAAAAACCTTTTTTTCAAAATTGGCTGAAAATAACTTGTTATTTTAATTTAGAAAAAAACGTTTTAAAATATTCTGAAGTTAACTACCGAGTGGCGAAACTGAAGTATACAGGTAAAGATTTTCACATTTAAGACGGAATTTCATCCATATTATATGTATCAATTGGCTTCAAAGAATTACGCTAATTTAATAATAAGGAAAATTAAAACGCTAATTCACATTTTTGCCCTACATTCTCGCAGTAAGAATGCATTTAAACACGCTGCTGAAATGTAACATCTGAAATTTCTCCCTGCATGGGGTGAAACCAGGGTTCTTTTATAACTAGCATTTTCGAGTTCATTGTGTGAGGGACGCAAAAAGGAGGCAGATGAAGGGAGGCAGCCAGGCAGAGTTTAAATGAACGCAATTGTTGGGATTTTCCACCGCTTCCGTGCGTGTCTGCCAGAGAAGGCGTGCAAGTGCGGACGTTCAAGCGTGCATGAACGAGTAGGGGGGGGGGGGGGGGGGGGGGAGTGCAATTCGCGACAAAATCTCTACCTGCTTGCCATCTCCTCTTCCTCACCTCACTGCTCGCCGTCGACCGACTTTCTGCCTTTCTACCCACCTACTACTACAATAACTACTACTGCTAACCCACTCTCTGGCCATCTGTCACAAAGTAGGCATTAGTGTAATAAACATCACCAGCTGCAAGAGACACGAAGAAACACCTGCTCTCTCTATCTCATTATACCAATACCGCGAGAGAGGGAATCAAGATTTATATTAGTTATAGAGTAAAAACGGTGCAGAATGAATACCATTTCATATTTTTTACGCCAGATAAAAAAACCAAGCAAACGTTGGTGCAGGTGTCTACTCTGAAATCTTCTCTTTCTACGCCGCAGCGGGACACAATAGACCCGTTTTCGAAGGAGAAATAGAGACCATTAGGATGGCACTCGCTTTTGAAGGAGAAATAGAGGCCATTAGGATAGCACCATGACAATTATGTTGCCTGGATACGAAATTCACCAAAGCGGTGATACTTCTGGACTCACAGTCAGCGAGAAACTCAAAGCGGTGATACTTTCGGACTCACAGTCAGCAATTAACTCAGTTGGAAACAGAGAGCCATCCAAAATGAATGAGATATAAGAATGTAAAAAACTCTATCAGCTGCTGAGAGAGAAAGACAAAACAGTG